CTAGCTCACCCACGTGGGCTGCCCCGCGCGGCACTCCGCCCCCTCCCTGTTCCACCAACCACAGAGCGCGCTGCTCTTTCCTTTGTTGATCCGCCAATAGGAAGATCGGCAGGGGAGGCCGAGGCCACGCCCCTGCCCAAATCTATAAAAGGCCGTGCCGGGGCGAGACGACTCAGATCATTGGAGTGGAGGACACGTGCCTTTTCTCTGCTTCTCTCGGATTATTCCGCACTGAGGATTTTACCTGTTTTTCCTTTATTCGGTTTTCTTTGGGGATTTCGCTATCACTTTCCGAAGATCGTGGATTAGCGTTTCGCCGCGTGGAAACGTGTTCAGCTTCCTGTGTTCGCATTTTTTTCTTCTCCCCTGGGACTGTGGTGGGCTGTTTCACTGTGGATTATAATTGCGACATGACCCTGGAAGAGATCGTGGCGTGTGACAACGCGGCGCAGAAGTAAGTAGCCGGGGCCCCCGCCGCCTGAGGTCCGCAGGACCGGGACTGGGGTGGGGGTGGGAAGGCTGGGGTGGCGCGGGATGCAGAGCACGGTGGCCGGCCCGGCGTGACCGGCCCTGTTCCCTGACCCCCAGGATGCAGACGGTGAGCGCCGCGGTGGAAGAGCTTCTGGTTGCGGCGCAGCGCCAGGACCGCCTCACCGTGGGGGTGTACGAGTCGGCCAAGCTAATGAATGTGTGAGTCAGCTCTGTTCCCCGAGGCTGGGCGCGGGATGGGGTACCCCCGCCGCTTTGCACGCTCCCCAGACCCCGGTTGGCCCCGGGACCGGTACTTGGGTAAGCGTCCCCCGTGTGGCTCGCGGAGTGTCTTTGCATTTGAGGAGAGCTTCGGTGTCCCGGCGCTGCACGGAGTTCTCGCGCCTTCTGATCCCCGTATACTTGGAAGCGAGCACCCTCCCCCGTTCTGCTCCCCCCTCTCCAACAGCACACAGACACGCTGTCCCCACCTGCGTGCACGCAACGCAGCCTCTTTTGCTTTCTGCAAACTCCCGGGAGCGCGGTGTCCCCAACTGACCCGGCCCCTCCTCGCCCCCTGCAGGGACCCTGATAGCGTCGTGCTGTGTCTCCTGGCCATAGACGAAGAGGAGGAAGATGACATCGCTTTGCAGATTCACTTCACACTCATCCAGTCCTTCTGCTGCGACAATGACATCGATATTGTGCGGGTGTCAGGCATGCAGCGCCTGGCGCAGCTGCTGGGGGAGCCCACCGAGGCCCAGGGCTCCACAGAGCCCCGGGACCTTCACTGCCTCCTGGTCACGGTGAGCTGCCCCCCTCCCACCCGGTCACACCCCGCCTGGCCACCTGGGCTGTGTTTGTCAACAAAGTCGAGCTGCCCTGCCAGCTCAACCCTCAGCCATGTGCGGCATGTCCGCGGCATGTCCCGTGGGCAGCCAAGCTGGCTTCATCACCCAGGGAGCTATTTGGGGCCTGTTTTCTAGGGGCAAGAAGGGAGGTTCCCCAGGCTTGTGTCTGAATCCTCTCCTTCTCTTTCCTACCTTAGAATCCTCACACAGACGCCTGGAAAAGTCAGGGGCTGGTAGAGGTAGCCAGCTACTGTGAAGAAAGTCGAGGAAACAACCAGTGGGTCCCCTACATCTCCCTGCAAGAGCGCTGAGTCTTCTCTCTGTCCCCCAGTGCGGGAACCTGCTGAGTTGCTGCCCCCCCCAAAAAAAAAATCAAATAAATATTTGATCCCCTCCCCCCCAGCTCAACCTCCCCAAAAAATACCCAACCTGTGACATCGGGGGGGGGGGGGGCAGAGTCATTGGAGAGTTGAGGACAAGGAGAGGGGACTGTGGGCTCACCCCCAGGGCGGTGGCCTGGAGCAGCGCCGTTGTTGGCCACCAACAGAGAAAGAGGAGAGGGACCCCCTCCTCCGGCCAGCAGAAGAGGAGACCCCGCGGTGCGGGCCTGGCGACAGAGCTGGGAGTGCGTGCCCTGCCTGCCCCCAGCACAGAGGGCGTGGACTCCACGTTTGTGGGGTGGGGTGGGACAGCGGAGTCCCCACCCTTGTTGAGACGGGAGCTACCGTGGGCTAAAAGGACTTGGCTGACTGAGGGCATGGACCCTCGCCAGGACTTCGGGACTTGGAGCTGGGGCCCAGGAGATCCTGGACCCAGGGACTCACAGTTTACAAACCGTATAGACAAATCTATTTTGTTACTTGCACTTGTTACTTGAACCACTGAAAAGAGAGACAGGACTTTACAGATTCGTCTATTTTTCTTTCTAGGATGGCCTTGTAATAAATTTGTAAAGCCTCAGGCTTGCTTCTGGTGTCTGTGGATTGGAAGAAAGACAGGGGCCCCCTACACACACACTCTCCCAGCTCCCCCTGGTCCTGCAACCTCCCCAGGAAGCGTCCCTAAAGGGTCTGTTAGCTGCTCCCGGCTTCTGGGTAGGAACAGTGCCTCTTCTCTCTGCAGCCGGCGCCACCACCCAAGTCCAACAAAGCTTCGCCTCTGTTTTTTTTCTTCTCCCTACTGCTCTGTAGCAATTAAAAGACTGGTTTATTACGAAACCTGGCTGCTGAGCTGCTGTTAAGGGCCGGGCTGGAGCCAGTGCCAAGCTCTGGGCACATAGAGACGTACACTTGGGGGCTGGCTGCAGCCTCCACCCCGCCGGCCCCGCTGTAGCCCAGAGAGGCCAAGCCTTCACCTGGAACTACACAGCATAGTGAGCACTGGGCTGCTGCAACACCCCCAACCCAGTAGCCATCTCTAGCTGCAGGAAGCCCCCAAAAGCTCCCCCCGCCTGGGTCCCTAGGTCTTCGCCCTCTCCTTATGGTGGTCCTCTTCGCAGCACTTAAGGGAAAAAATTTTTTTTAAATTTCCCCAAACTAAAATCAACAAGAAGAAAAATGCCCCAGGAAGCTCCGGCGGGCTTGGCACAGCTGTGCCTCTAAACCGAAACTGGAATTCTGGCGCAGCCGCCTCCCAGTTCTCCCCAAGTGGCAGGCGGTGACACCCCCTGCCTCGGGCTGGCTGCCCAGGCCAGCCCTTCCTGTCCAGCCTCAGTCTACCTAGCCTGGTCTGTCTGGTCTGTGGGTGGGCTCGAGGCTCCGCCCTCCCAGCAACAGTCGCAGCCCCAGCCTGGGCGTGGGGGAGGGGGATGGGAAGGGACTCTGCCCAAAGGCCACGACCTTTTCACAGATCCCCACGTGGGTGCATGAGGAAAACCCCGTGCCCCCCCAGGAGTCACGGGGCAGAGGAAGGCGGGGGTGGGGGGGGAAGTCCCATGAGGGAGGGGGTGGAGCGGGGAGCCCAAATGGAGAGATGGGAGCCCCCATGGAAAAGGAGGGGAACCCTCAGATGAGGAGAGTGGCAGAGGAAGGGCGGGAGACTGCATTTGGAGGCATGAAAGTCCGTGAGGTGTGAAGGGGAACCCAGAAGGGTTATGGAAGTGGGGATGAGGTGAAGGGGTTCTCCAAAGGTAGGGGAACCCAGGGGGAGGGAGTAGGGCAAGGGTGGCCTGAGGAGCCCCTGAGGGAGTGGCAGAGAACAGAGAACCCTGAGGTAAGAGCCAAGAGGGGCGGGGAGCAGAGGCTGAGGGGTCCCCAAGGGGTTTGGGGAGGGGATTATTGAGGGGAGGTGAAGCCCCAGGGAGGGGACCTCAGTGGGGAGGCCTGGGGGCTGGTGGCCCTGTGGGGACAGGAGTTCCTGCCCCCTGCCAACCCCACCCAGCGGGCTCCAGTGTCCTCCCGGCTACCCAGGACAGGTGGCCAGGGAGGTACGTCCCTGTCGACCCCTCCCCATGGGGTGAGACTGCCCATCCCCTTCATGACCCTGGCCATTCCCAACAGCCCTGTCACCTCTGACCTTCTCATCCTTAGGTGCTGTCCCAACCTCCTGGGTCCCAAGGAGAAACAATAGTGGCAGGATCCCAGCTGTGTGACCCAGATCCAGTACCTTGACCACTCTGTGCCTGTTTCCCTCTCTCTGATGCGTCTACCTTACAGATTGTGGAGAAGGCTCAAAGAAACCTATATCCCTTAGAGTAGCGCCTGGAGCTCTGTGGTGCGGCCGTTAAAGCATTCAGCTGCTAACCAAAAGGCCAGCAGTTCAAACCCACCAGGTGTTTAGTGGGAGAAAGATGTGGCAGTCTGCATCCATAAAGATGACGCCCTTGGAAACCTAGTGGGGGAGTTCTACTCTGTCCTGCAGGGTCTCTGAGTCGGAATTGATCTGATGGCAGTGGGTTTTTTAGTGTCTCCTGCAGAGAAAGCGTGCAGAGGTCGGCCATCGCCACCACTCCTATGCTCACTTTTGGTGATGGTGCTGGCTGCCCCTTGTACAGTCCCACTCATGACGGCCCCATGCGTGCAGAGGAGAACTGCGCTTCTGAACGCAGATTGCCCGGCCTTTCTTCCGCAGTGCCTCTGGGTGGGTTCAGACTACTGCTACCACAGTCAGCATCCTCCCCTTGAACCCTTACAGCCACCCTGTGAATCAGGGCTGAGGCTGGCTGGGGTGAGGCAGGGAAGGCGTGGCCAAGATCGAAGGAAGGAAGCAGGCGCCACCGAACTCAGTCAACCGGAGAAAGAATATGTTCATGCAATGTTTCAAAAATAAAATCAACGTCAACATGCATCTGCTTTGGTCCTCTAGTGCTACTCTATCAAAATAGTTTAATAGATGGCTTGAACAAACAAGAGTTTATTCTCTTACAGTTTAGGAGGCTAGAAGTCAGAGCTCAAAGTGCCGGCTCTAGGGGCTTACGCTTCAGCTCTGCCTCTTGCTCCCGGCCCACCGGAGCTGGAGGCATCTCTTCACTCAGCTGCTGGCTGCTGAGGCTGACAAACCCAAGGCCCACAAGTAAAACGGCACAGTCCCAAGATTATCAAGCAATAGGGCAGGCCACTGGTTCAAGTCCAGAAACAGCCCCAAGATCAGCAGGCAACATGGCAGGCTGCTGAGTGAAGACTCGGCTGCGTGCAGGATCCAAGGGTGCCAAAAAGCCAGGCCCCTTTCTCTAAGCGTCTCCTTACACACAGGAAGCAGACCACACCCCTAAGGCAGCTCCTCAGCTGCTCCCAGTAGATTCCACCATGGACTTGATGACCGGTCTCATCATGGGGAATACTACATCCAGCTGCCCAGCCACTCAGCCAGGCCCAGCCACGCTGACACATGACCTTAACTACCACAGCATCCACAATGAACAAAATTTCAAATTTTCAAATCAAAACAGAATCCACATTTCTGATGTTTCCTTTTGCACCAGGGGCCACCAAGTCCTGCCCAGCATGGTGGCTGATCCTTTCTTGACAGAAAGTTCTGAGGCATGACATGACTCATCCACTCTGCAGAGGAGAAACGAAGCCGCAGGGAGGGCATGTGACCGCCACTGGGTGAGGAAGAAGAATCGTGGCTGTTTTGTTCTAACAAAGCCCCATTATTATTACTGTTGTTGTTGTTGTTGTGTGCCGTCGAGCCGGCCCCGACTCCTAGCGACCCCTCCTTGGGTTTCCAAGGCAGTATCACTACGGAAGTAGGATTGCCCA